TAAAATCAAATCAAACGTCAGAACGTGGACGTATGAGAATTAAAAAAAAAGATAAATAAATTTTAAGGGACTAATATCTAGTATACAGTCGCCTGGTGAAATTTCCCGTTTCCATATACCGATTTCAGGCATCCTGGACTGTTGTTCGAAATATACCCAAGGCACATCCCCAATTTAAGCCACAATAAGAGCAATATCCATTACAGATAATGACATTTTTTAATTTGACAACCATTTTTCTCATATTGTAAATACTTATAAATCCGTTTTCGCTTATATTGCCTTGATTATTTACACATAAAACTTTCTGCCTTTTCCGAGATGAATTCTGAATTTTTCCGAGACGTTCGTTTTAAAACAGCATATCTCCAATACAAAAAGAGATAATGTGGTGATTAAAAAAAACAAAATGCTCACAAAAGATGAGGCTACAATGTAATTTAACTTAACAATAATAGCTAATACCGCTGATGCACCCTACAGGGTGTTACATAATTCGGGCAAAAAACTTCGTCTTATTTTTGTGTCCTGTATATGCTCAAAATAAATTCGGAATAAAAATTTCTGACGGAGCATCCGTTAAAAAGGAATTAATTTACAATTTAAAAGAAAAATCATCAAAATCTAATAAGTGGTTCGCGAGAAAACCAATTTTGAAATTGGGTCTAGTTTTTAGTGACCGGTTTTTTTGCCGGTGAGTTTATATAAATTTTATTCAATATTTTTTATTTTGCTACAATATTCCTCCAAGAAATAAACGTCCAACCAAGAAAAAAATAGTCCAATCGACTATTTCTGCAATAAATTAAATTTAATGGATTAACATGTTTTCTTGTCTTGTATCTAAAATGTTTCTTTTCTTTTGTATATATTATTAAAAAAAATATATACACTGTGTCAATTTTAAAACTTCCCACCCTTAATATCTTTCTTGCAGTTATAATTATGAAAAATCGGAAAGACACCTCAATTTTATTTGTGAGGGGGACACTTTAATTGAATATTTTTAACCTTTTTCTGTCAACCCCCTAGGAGGGGTAGATTCACCCTTACAATCTTAAATGGGAATGGGGGTCAAGTGACACATCGTTTTAAAGGGCGTTTAATTCTCTTTTTAGTGGTATCTTTGTTGCCTCTTTTTCCAGAGGTTTCCGAATAATCGTGTTTCAAAGTTGCAGAGACAATTAAATATGTCTGCATTGAGATTTTGGTTTTCAGTCCAGTGTTTACACAAAAATGATTGCAATGGATCTCCTTGTAGTACAAATGATTAGAATATTAGGTTACATCACTTACTCTTATAAGTTGTTCAAAATGTTGTCCATTTTTCTGTAAACAATAATAGAGTCTGTTTTCAAACTCCTCCCTAACATTTCGGTAAACTTTACCGGGAATTGACCGGCATTCTGCTAATTCGCCTTTTAAGATCATCAATATCAGTAGATTCTGTTTTATAAACATTGGATTTAAGATGTCCCCAAAGAAAGAAGACTAAGGGTGTTAAATCCGGTGATCTTGGAGGCCATTTAAATGGTCCACTTCGGCCAATCCATGTACCCGGAAACCTCTCATTTAACCACTGTCGGACCGGAAAAAAATGAGGTGGTGCACCGTCCTTCTGGAATGTTAACAAATCCTCTCTTCTGTAAAACTGGATTACCCTCTGCATCAATTTGAGTTGCTAGCACTTGGGTGATAAAAGGATCAATAGTCTCTTGAAGCATATTAAGATGCAGATCATCTGTCAAGTTAAGTCAAGTCAATAAAGAAAGGACCAATTCCATTCAAGCATTTCCATAAACACCAGCCCAAACATTAACCTTTTGGGAATATTGTGTATGTCCTTCTCGAAAAATATGAAGGTTTGAGAAAAATAATAAATAATTTGAGAAAAGAAACGTTAATGGTTATGATGTTTTCTGTTTATTAGTATTTCGACCCCCCTAGAAATGTAATGGCTACGACCATGTTACCAGCTAATCTTCTAACCATACCATTTGTATTGCAAGGAAATTGCAATAATTTTTGAGTAAACACACTAGCCAAAAAAATTTGGAACGCGATTATTCGGAAACCTCTGGAACAAAAGGCAACAAAGTAGGAACCCTGAAAAGAGAATTAAAAGCCCTTTAAAACGATGTGCCATTTGACCCCCATTCCCATTTGAGATTGTAAGGGTGACATCTACCCCTCCTACGGGGTTGAAAGAAAAAGGCTAAAAATATTAATTTAAATTGTCTTTCCGATTTTTAATATTTTTAACTGCAAGAAAGATATTAAGGGTAAGAAGTTTTAAAATTGACACAGTGTATGTATTTAATTTAATAAATCTGTCAAAATTTACTTATAAAAAAAAAAGAATTTGTTGTTGACTAGCTAGTAAATATTTTCAAGCTAAAGTATCACAACACTATTTATTAAAACCAAAAACTCGTAATATACAATACTAAAGTGTCAAAACGAATGACAATATCAGGAAATAAATAAATAACATGACATTTTTTACAGCAGAGCTACCACCTGAAAACCCAGCGCGAAATTTAAATTCCAGCTAGTCAGCACGGCGCCGAATATGTCCACGGTTGGCAACAATGAATTTAAAAATCGCGCCCTTGATTACGTAACTAAAAGTTTAATTGATATGAAATATAGCTATCTAGTCAACATATTTATTTTTTGTCAATAATTACATGTATCGACGATTATTTCCATCATTTCAAATATCTTGAAAACGGTTGGTCATAGCGATTTTTACCAAGATACTTTTTTCACGTAAAAATTAACGGAAATGTATATTTTTTGACTCAGTAGTATTATACAGGTACGAACGAAAAGTTTTTACTACTCAAAACAGTTAAAATCCACAAGCCTCCTACAAGTAGGAGTCATACACTGAACCAAAAGTCGACATAAATATAAGGAAAAAATGCATTAATATAATGAATTAAATCATTAATTTTGAGCCGATGAACTATTTCATTGACACAAGGAAAAGTAATTCATTAACTTTATGAACTTCAAGTTCATTAAATCAATGAACAGTGTTCATTAATTTAAAGAACACATTCACTGGTACAATGAACAGATTTCATTAATATAATGTACCTAAATCCTTATATTAATGAACCGTATCATTAATACAATGAAATAATTTCAATTCTTTTTTTATTCAAACTTCATATAGCATATACAAGTTAAAAATTAAAAAAAAATCGAATCGGCGGAAAAAATAGTAATGCTATTATTAATTTTAGGGTAAATTATAATAAGAAAATTAATTTACCAGTTGATATCCTGAGGGATTTCTATAAAAACACCATTTCTTCATTATATTAGATGTATCGTTAGACTTGATAACGTCTAGACGAATTTGCAACAGGCCTTCCAAGTTGCATCAAGTGGGTCCGATGTTAAATTGTTAAATTTGAGGGTTTGAAGGCAGGTCTCAGCATCTTGTTCCGGTTCTAAAAGCGACGTATATCAAAATAATTAAAATGCCGAATATTAAAAGAACATTGGAATTTACCATAATCAGTTTCATATCTCGAATGTTTTTCTTCTTTTTGTTTTTTATCTTCTGAAACATATTTGGAAACCCCTGTTTTAATGTATACCTGCACCAGAGATCTCACACAGCGGAATTTGATGTGACAACACAATAAATTAACTACAATACGATAGGACTTTTATTTAAAATATTTAAAATATTGAAGAGAACACTTACCGCTCTAATGAAACTAAAGCTTCACCGAATAACACAACCACACAGACGTTATTAAGGTGCCAAAGTAAATGATCAAGATGGCCACCATATAAGTCCTAATATTTTATTCCTGATATTAATAACCGTGTACATTAATATAATGTAGTATGTTCCTTGTATTAATAACATTGTTCATTGTCACAATATACAACTCATTAATCAATGATTAATCAATGAACATTAATATAATGAATATGTGTTCATTAAAGTTTCAGCATTAAAATATAGAAAGCATTCATTTGGACTATGAACGCGTTCTTTATATTAATGAAAATCTTACATTAATTTAATAACCAGATTTTCATTATATTGATGAAATTAGATTCATACTATTAATAAATCAGGCATCAATCTATGATTAACAAATCATTAATATAATGAAAAATATCATTGTACCCAATGAAAGAACAGTTAATAATCAATTTTCATTAATATTATGAACAATATTTTTTTCAGTGAAGTGACGTCGAAATTTTCTGTGTGAAAAAACACCCAAACACCACTTTTCATCCAAATATTGTCTATAGTTCAAAAATGATTTTGAAAAAACCGAAATAAAAATGAAAATTCTACACCCGGCATACTTCTTTACTTATTTTTATCTTTAGAATACGCTGCCGAAGTGTCTCAAATACACTTCGGACCACCCTGTATATATTGTATGATCGAGGTGTCAAGTTGGCTTGGAAATGACCATCGATTACATTTTCCATATAATTTTATATATTTTCATTCTTCATTTCCAACGGTAACTTTGACGTCGTGTTTCTTACTTGGAATCTTATATTATTGATCTTATTATCTTAGGCTTTGCTAATTTCGATTATCAATATTATTAATCAGTGCTTATTGCTGTTATTTTAAAGCACAACTTTACCTTTTTCTTATTTATAAAGAAAAAAGATGATCATGATGTTCTTAAAAAATATAAGCAGCGATTTTTTTCGCAATTTGTTATTCAAAAAAAGAGTTTTATTCAAAAAAGGTCAATGGGAATCTTGAATTGTGTTACTTAAAAATTCAAGTCGAATATTAAAATTTTAAGCCCAATTGACTATCTTAAAATGCATTTATTTAGTTTTAAATTGCATATAGCTTATTCATATTATTTAAAACATCTGATAGTTTTCGCGGGTTAAGGAAATTTTATAACTAGATAAGCAGTACTTACAAAAATAAAAACGCGGTTTTAATGATTTTATCAGGCCTAATTTCCTTTTTTTTATATTTATTATAGATATACAAAGATAATGAACTTTTCTACTACATCGACGGATATGATACATCTAAGGCCAACTGGATGAGATACGTAAATCCGGCGTATTCAAGCGAATCTCAAAACCTAATCGCTTGTCAGTACAAAATGAACATCTACTTCTATACTATCAAGCCTATCCTCCCAAATCAGGAACTTCTAGTATGGTACTGTAAAGAATTTGCTGAACGACTAAACTACCCTCTAACAGGAGAACAAATGCTTCAAAGAATAAGTAAGTAAATTTTTAAATTGTAATTAAAAAGTAATATTTTGACAACTTATGCATACAGTGTCGTCAAAAATGTCTGCTAAAAATGTGATATTGTTGTTGTTTTCAGAAACAGGTAAAATTAGGTAGTGCAGTTCGTTTTGCTTGTCTCAAATACAAAAAAAAAAATAAGTATACCGTCACTACTGCCCAAAATGGTTTACCTGTATTTTTAGCATGTTATATTTTTTACATTTAACTTTTTAAGTGTTGAAATTTTCCGTTATTTAACCTCGAAGAAGTTATTTAGCTTCAGTTTTTATACTACTGGTTGTATAAAAAAATCTCATTTGCTGTAATATCACTCTAAAATAATTTCGGCTTTTTGTCGATATTTAAAATAAATATTTTGACCAGTCCCTGTATATTAGACACAAGTATGCATTCTATGGTACATTTTTTGTTTGTAAAAGTTTTACCAAAAACAACACGGTTTACTTATTCGTATGTCAAGCAAATATTACTGATTATCGTGTTTTTTATATGTTTTTAACAATAAAAAAATGAAAGCCGATACTGAGACGGTTTTACAGAGGGTAGTTCCCCAGTATTGATATTAGTAGTACCAAAGTTGATAGCTCGAATGTTTGTCGTCTCGGCTCACTCAGTGATGAGGTATTCTGGTGTTTCCCCATTTTCCCCACAGAATCTGCAATCGCCGTTGTTTCTTAACTTCAATCTACTGGGATGTTTGATTGAGAAGATTTCTATAACTCTTGTAACTCGTCATACAGTCTCAGGGCTTTGACAAAAGCCAGTATCTGAGACGGTTCCACAGAGGCCAGCTTTCCATCTTCGATATCAGCTGAACCAAAGTTTATGGCACGAATGGTTGTCGTCCCGGTGCACTCTATATTCCTCGGTTCTAACATTTTCCCATTTTCCCCACAGAACTGCATTCGCCGTTGTTTCTAAGCTTCAATCTACTACAATTTCGTTGAGGAGACAGTGTTCTGTCAAAAAACTTATGGGGACAATCCGAAGATTGTTCTTACTTATATCAAGGAAAATTTTGAAGTTCTGAGAAATTTCTTCGAGTATCTTAGATCGTTGTAGGATTTCCATTCCAGACTATGGATAGAGTCTTTTAGGTTCTTGAATTCCGCTTTAAGTTTGTTTCTAGTCCAGTTAGTGGAGTGTTCGCTTCTTTTCTAGCTAGATAGTTTGTTTTAAAGCTGTTTTTTTTTGATGAGGTGGGAAAAGATCTTCCATAGACACCTTCAATATCAAAGATGTTGTATGATATTTGGTAGTCTCGGATTCTTATCGACTAAAAAACCCTCTCCAATCGTTTTGCCTTCTATGCACCGGTAACCGCTCTCGCATTTCTTCAGTGCATTAGGTTTTCTAAAGAACATCTTCTTTTTCTTTGGTCTCTATTATTTCTCTGGTACTCCTATATGGCGCCTTTCCAAGATTATGCGCTCTTGACTAGACTTTCCATCATGTTAGAAATATTAAATGTAAGTTCTGTGCGTATTTGGAATTGATGCCTTTGTTGACTCTATCGAAAACAGTAGTATAGGGTATGTTCAACGTCGTCCACTGTTCCACAATATTTACACAGATCAGTACTAGATCTTTTCCGTTTGTAGAGATACTGTCTAAAACACCCGTCTCCTGAAAGTACTTGCGTTAAATAATAATCCACTTCACCTTTCGAGTTTAACCATGTCTCAATGTCTGGGATAAGCTTGTATGTCCAGCGTCCGTACTTTCCGTTGTCCCATTTTTGCTGCCAGCGTTTCACTAAGTTCTTTCGGGCTTCACCTTTTGCAATACTCTCATAAACTTCACTATTATTTGCAGTTCTATGGGGGGAATTTTTCATATTATATTTACGGCCTCTCTCGATATTGACCGATACGCACATGCAACTCCGATGCATGCAGTTCTTTGAATCCTACTTAGGTTTTGCACAATCTTTGTCACTTTCTGCCACGCTGGAGCCGCATACAAAATTTGTGAGTGCACCACACCCATAAGAACCCTCTAGACGATTTTGGTCCTCCGGTGTTTGGTAAAAGTCGGCTTAATAAACGTGTGGTGCCCTCGACCTTTTGTATAGTTTTATTAATATGCTCGGCAATGGTTCTTTTTGTGTCCAGCCATACGCCTAAATATTTAATAGCTTGTTTTGGAATAACTGTAGTGTCTGCTATCTGTTTTTTTAAAGCTATCTAAATTTTAATAAATAAATGTACTTTTTCACATTAGGTAATACAAAAATATAAAATTTAACAAGAAAGCAGATGACAGTGAGAAAACATAAAATAAATAACAGTACGACGCACAACTCTGAATATATATTATCTAATATTTGGATTTTAAACCAACATAATAACTGCGTTACTAATTATTTTACTAACATACAATTTCCACTAATATTAAGAAATATCCATATGTCTTTATTTTCAGACCGATATTTTGTTTATTTTCCCAATAAAAATCTTCGCACGCTATTAATTTTTAATTAATTAATATAGCATATCTTTTAATAAATATATTTTTCCTCTCTTTTCACTAGGACAACAAGTACAACAATCATCTGAAGTCATTACTGTAACCACCACTGAACCTGTAAAAGATGCACCGTATGAACACCAGCTAACACCAACAGAAGGAAGCGTCAGATCGGAAGCGTCGGATCAAGGTTACCATAGTAACGGATACCACGATGACGCGTTCACACCGCCAGAGGATTCCAGCGATTCCGACAGTGAAAATAACTACGTTCTCGATTTCAGTAAGAAACAAAACTCAAAAGAGATACCTGTAATTCAGTCGGTGGTGCAGCAGACCCCTAAAAACGAATACAGGAAAGTGAAGATCAAGATCTCCAAAGCCTATAATTATAAGCCGCTGAAAGGTAAGATCTGTTACATAATATAGTCAGTTAAAGAAATCTGCATAAAAAATATTTATACATATATTAATATCAACCAATCTTTATTTAATGACTGAAAAATTTACAGGTAATTTTTATCGCAAACAGTAAAACATATTTCAATTAACTCTAGAATACCTCAGATTTAATCATTTTTTTTCTTTTAGGTGACAGTGACCCTGAAACGGGTAAAGACTCACCACCCCTGGATACTGCAGTACCTGAAATAAATTCATTAACCCCTAGGATAATATCCCCACCGTCGACGGTTATTGTGATGGATTCTCCACCTCAAGAAGTTCCTAATAAACCCTTTTACGAATCCGATGTCAAACAAACACATTTGATTCCCCGCTACACACCACCATCGTCAAGCATCCTGGAGAACATTCTTTTACGAAACAGAATTGATAACAACAACAACAACGACAGTAATCAAAGGCAAGCTAATGCCGCTACACCGCCACCGTGCTCTCCAACTGAAATGGCATATTCTTATAAAAAGAGTCACAGATATGGAACAGTTCCTTGCAGTCCAGATTCCAGTTCTAACGTACAAATGAATATTTTACCACCGAGTCCTACACCTTCAATGAAGATTGGCGGCGATTCTAGTAGTCCCGGGCATATTGCAAACCTCTATATGCCAGATAACTTTCAACAACCGAACTATTACAATATTTATTCCCCTACAAATAGTATCGCTCAAAATACAATTACGTCTACTGCTACTCACAGTTACAGCCCTCCTATTACTACCTTTAGTGGGAACCATCATGTCAATAATAATAACTCAAACCCGTCGAGTATAATCGTACCAACAAGTCATGTAATCAACTCGAACATTACCCATCATCTACTGACTCCTTTGACCCCTCTTCAAACGAATTGCGGAAATAGATCACCCAATTCGAAAGGATCTGATATGAAATACGACATGAACGTGATTTCAAGTAATCCCGCAAGTCCAACAGGACAATCTAGAGGATACAGGAGCTTACCGTATCCGCTAAAGAAAAAAGATGGTAAAATGCACTACGAATGCAACGTGTGCTGTAAAACGTTTGGACAGTTGTCCAATCTTAAAGTTCATCTACGCACTCACAGTGGCGAAAGACCCTTTAAATGCAACGTATGCACTAAATCTTTTACCCAACTTGCTCATCTTCAAAAACACCACCTAGTGCATACTGGCGAACGACCTCACGAATGCGGAATATGCAAAAAACGATTCTCGTCGACGTCTAATCTGAAAACGCACCTTAGGCTGCATAGCGGGCAAAAACCGTACGCTTGTGATTTTTGCCCGGCTAAGTTTACGCAATTCGTCCATTTGAAGCTACACAAACGACTTCATACAAACGAGCGACCGTATATTTGCCAGGAATGCGGGAAGAACTACATCAGTGCATCTGGATTAAGGACGCATTGGAAGACCACCAGCTGCAAACCAAATAACATTGAAGATGAGCTTCATGGCGAAACATCACCCAATGGATATTATGAATATCCATCAGATGGCAGCATGGGTAAGATTTTATTTGATATTACATATATTAAAAAATGATTAAGTAAGTAGTACACCAAGAAAATTGGTGGTACTGTAAAATAATTTCTACAGGGTGTTTCCCAAAACTCGTTTTCCAAAGTTTTCAGATAAATAAAACGGATTTGGTACGTTGGTATCTGACATAAATCAGAATTGGCACCTTCAATATTTTTTATTTATTCCATAGAAAATGACACTCAGAATAGAATAGAATACATACAATACAATCATAATATCAACATGACAATCATAATATGAATGACAATCATAATATCAACTTTTGACATTCTCGCTTAAAAAAATCGTATGTTAAATTTCAATCTAGATTGTCCTGGCTATGTCAAAAACATTAATTGTTATTCAAGTAGCCTTGGAAAAACATATTTGATCGTCTAATGTTTTTCGTGTCTTGTCCTGGCTGGATAGAAGATGTCCAAGTCGTATTTTTAATCACAACTCATTTTTTTTCAAATGGAACGAGGATGACTCGTTGGCATATTTGGAAAAACATGTTTTTACGAACAATTTTGTACCACACACTTAGTATTTTATGTCAAATTGTCGTTACTATTATATTTATAGCCAGGGCACCCTAAATTAAAATTTAAAATGCTATTTTTTTTTAATTGATTGAAATGTCAATAGTTGAGCCATTCTATTCAGATTATCATTTTCTATCAAATAAAGTAAAAAATACCACGGGTGTCATTTAAAAATCAAAAGTTGTAGTTGTAATCATTTCCGGCGAAACAGGAAGTGACCGAAAACAATTGAATACATCAATCAATCCTAATTTATGTCATATTCAAACACACCAAATATGTTTTTTTTATCTAAAAAAACTAAAAATGTGCCCCTTTTGAGAAACATTCGATATATGACTGATTTGATTTCCTATTTTCAGTAGCATTCGATGTTAAAATATTAAATTAGGTACACTTTTTAATTTTCTAGTTGATAATTAAAATTGATAGATACCGTTGTATATACCAGGTGCGTCTCAAAAGTGGCTCACCTCTATAACTTTTTTATTGTTTCGGATAAAACAACTAGATTTGGTATGTTAGTATATGACATAAATTGGGATTGATTGACGTACTCAATTGTTTTCGGTCACTTCCGGTTTCACCGGAAATGTCTACAACTTTTGATTTTTAAATGGCACCCTCGGTATTTTTTTTACTTTATTCGATAGAAATCGACACTCTGAATCGAATGACATATTATATGTCAATTTTTGACATAGTCACTCAAAAACAAATTCTATTTTAAATTTGAATCTCGACTGTCATGACTTTTTTATGATTCACAATACCTAATCATTGTAATTGAAGTCCAGATTTTTACCCTTTGCATAAAACCAATTAAAACAAAATAAGCATTATAAAATGAACACAAAAAAGCGCACCAAACTTGTCATACAAAACTGATAAAACAAGAGGTTTCAAATTTGTGCCAATAGTATACAAAAAATAGTACTGGACTACTTTCTTAGTCTTTTTTGAACTGCCATTAGATACTTATTATTATCTATTAATTATGATTCAAGGTCTTTGAATAACATTTTTATTGTAATCTATCATTTTTTCGATCAGAAATAACTTTTAAGTTCTGTTATTTACAAATTAAATTTATTTAAAATGTGATTCGACTTTCAGGATCGATCGAAATGAAAGATGGTCACGACGAATTGAAAGATTCATACGACATGGGCCACCCAACGATAAGCCACGCGGCACCTCCACAGTCTATGGGGGCCATAAGTCGACAAATATCCCCTGGATTCATCCAGAACACCACCCAAAGACCATCCCAAAGCATTCATCCTGGCAAGGAGACGCGACCCAGCGTCATTGAATCATCTCAACCCCACATCATTGAATGTACCTAAGATATTTTCTGCTCATTATCTTCTGTAACTAAGTGGCCGAAGATTGAACATGACAATTTAAATTGATAAATAGAAACATGTTTAAAAATGTACGCGGTAATTGAAACATTGGAGAGAAATGAAAAGTATGAATGGCTTTTGATCTTCGGAAACTTAGTTTGCTATACTGTTAAGTTTTTGTAAGTTTATTTAATGTTTTTTTTTTCAAACAAATTCACGATGGATTGCTACAGCCGCTGTTTCAAGTTTCAAAATAATCATCAAATTTAGTTGAACAATTATTGTGAAATGAAGTTTTAAATATTAGTTTCATGTTTGCTCCATATCAATGAAGGTATTATTTTATTTTGCAAGAAATATACTAAAATTCATTAATTATTAATTAATAGCATTAGGTTACAATTATTGTTTTTCTTGTAGAAAAAATCATAAAAATAAGTTAAAAAATTAAATAACACACACTTATAAAGATAAAGGTCAGTACCAAAAAGAAACTACACTGAGATGCAAAAAGCGCAACGGAAAAAGTATTGGCCTAATTTAAAATGTATTTTTTTTATTCTTATCTCTATTTCCTTGATTTTTTAGCAAACTGTATATAAATATATCGACTTTAAATAAAAAGAGAATAATAGAAATTAATATAGAAAAATAGAAATAACATCATAAAGTAATGACAGTTGAAAAAAAAATGCAAATTGTTGGTGGCAAGTTTATTTCGCTCTTAAAAATTAACCAAGGCATGTGTTGACATGAGCCAAAAAAAAATGCTCAGGAGACGTTGCTCTGATCAAAAAATAATGTTTTAGGAAAGGTTACTTACGAAATTATTGCACAGGATATTTTAAAGTTAAAGTAAAAAACAACCCTTCAATTATCCCTGTATAATAAACCAAATACTGAAATTAATAAAAAACTGAGTTTGTAAATTAAAGTTGATAGATTTATATATAGTTTGCTAAAAAAATCATGAAAATATGGCTAAAAATAAAAAAAAATATTACACTTTAAACTTAACGAAAAAATTCTCCATTGCGTTTTGTTTTTGCATCTGTGTGTACAATGTTGTGACAATTTGGTGACTATTTTGTAAAACATTTTAAGATGGCTGTCTTCACCGTGAATCGAACTGATATACTTTAAGATACTCATTACTTGTTGATTAGTTTAATTTATTTTTAGTATTTATGTTTAGGTGATAGCTTTATTTTAAAATGTAGCCGAATTTTTCACTTTTAGACTGAATATCTGAAAAGCAATATTAAGTAACCATTGACTTGGATTCATATTTTAAACTTGTGTCTAGGCTTTTCGTTTGGTTAAATTTAAATGTTTTAGAATTAAGACTTGATATAATCCTACTTTTGAAAATTTCTAGCAGATTTTGTACCTACCAAATAGGTTTGATGTGTATCTTTCTAAGGAACATATAACTTTACATTTTAAAAACAATACAGAGGCTTGTGAAAAATAACTTTATATGTGTACTCGCACTCAGTATAAAAGTATAGCTATCGACATTATTATAGTGATATTACAATAAACAACAATTCGGTAACTTTAATCATTGTATTCCTAATTTATTTGGAGTAGTTGTCTGTAATTTAAGCATAAAATACTTATATTTTGTTGTGTGATAAACATAAAACGCCTATAATTTTGCCGCAGTTCTGGCTAAATATTTTTATATAAATTATTTCACGTCTTCATCCTAAATTAATTTTGCTAAAAAATTAAAAATTAATACACTCTATCTATACATAGGCAATATATCACAACTGGAAGGTTTTCTGTTCTATAAAACAGTATTAGATGGGTTCAAATCTATTTTAAATATTAATTTTACTCAAATTATATTTTTGTATAGTTTATATTTTTGTAAATATTTTCGTTCGGGTACCTACACATGAAAGCGCTGTAAATTTTTGTAAATTGTATATTTTTTTCAAAAAAACTTGCCCGTTGTATATAAGATTATTTATTCTCAAACTGTGAACGATCTGTTTTCGTTTTGTTGCCTAGAATAGGAAGATTGGTAAAACATTCTACACATCACATACTGCGTATGCAAAAACACTTGATGTTTAGTGAAGTTTAATGGAACCAAAATAAATTCACATCATTTTTCTATTCCTGTACAACATTTACATAAAAATAAACTACAAAAAGGATTCTTGGATTTTAAGTATAAATTTTAGTTAAAACATCTAGTGTTTTTGCAAATTCGGTATTTATCGCTGTAGCAAGCAACTCTAATATTTATTTAAACATACATATATCTATGAAAGCTCTGACATGTAATTCCGTGGTGGGTATTATTTTTTCCAATCTGCGTTGTGGGGTTTAATAGTTATAAATCATTTTTACACTAAATTTTTACTTCTCCCCTAGTTGACAAAAAACCGGTATACTGTCATTGTTATTTATTTTAGTATGTACTGTGTACAAATGTTAATTTTGAATCTTATTTTTTGTCTTGTTTATAATGATGGCTAAGTAATTTTCTATTTGATTTTAAATAAAATCCTTAACAGTTGCATTTAATTAGGAACACTTCTTAAAACTATTCAATTGTTGAGTAACCAGTGATAGGCTATTTTATTTGTTCATAGTTGAATCGGATCTATTTTTGTTAAACCTTTTACATGTAAAAATGTTCATATGACTATTAAAATAAAGATATTTCAATTGGTGTTTTATTATTCTTACCATTTTTTTTTCATTTGTTCCATTTTTTTATACACAGGAAACATATTTTATGTTAGGTATCTATCTATGCTATAATGTGTATAGAATAGGGTTATGGGATAGTTAGAAAATTATTTAGCAACTACATACAAACACATTATTATATACCATAGAATAATGTGTATGTATGTCAATTCTTCTATTTTATACATGAAGTTCTTTAATTTATATGATTGTTCCAAACTATTCACCTTAAAATTATTGTAACTGTGTACACACAGTTTTACGTGAGTACCTATGCTATGTACTAAAGCGTATCTCAGGAACATATGTTCACTTGCTCAGGATGTTTCTCAAATAAAATATGAGTGGATGAGTGTGAAGCTGACTTGAGGACCCTGTATAGCATTGCATTTTTTGGTTTCTTCCTGGTCAGTTATTATAATCCTAGGTTATTACCACAAACTAGAATGTAGAATGTTTAGAAGGGGAATTAATCACCGCGACCTTACAGATATCTATTGTGTGCTCCCCTTTCTTGAGTTATAACGAGTTATAACTCATTATACAGTGTCAGGGCTTTATCAAAAGCCAGTATCTGAGACGGCTCCACAGTGGCCAGCTCTCCTACCACAAACTAACGTTAACGCTTATAGTCTGTCACCTAACCTACCTCCACAAAATATAAAATAAATAAAATGACGAATGCGCTGGGTAATATTCTCAGGCATACTTCGTTGAAATATTATTTGAAAATTAAAAATGGGCACTTAATACTTTTTTTTGAAAATTGTTTCTTGGAATTATGGTCCGTCAATAAAACGTTTTTTTTTTAATTTAAGTCACAATCACATAATCAGCATGCTGAACGTATATGTTTACATTAACGTAAAAGTATTTAACAAGTTTGTTTTAAAATTATTTTATGTTTATATTATGTTTTATTTTATATTTTTTGTTTTTTATTTTTATAATTCTGCTTGGCTTTATTTTATTTTATTCTATTTTTACTTTAATTTTTATATGACAACTCCAATACATGTAACCATGTCAAATAGAAATGAATGAATAAACAAATAAATAAATTAGAGTTTTAAGAATAATGGCAATAAAAAATATAAATGTACAGTTATGGCAGGATTATTTCTGGAAACTATTTGGATATTTTGCAACTGAAGAAAGCCAAAAAATAAAAACATTACTCATTTAGAGTTCAAATATTTTATTTTAAGTCTATGGTCCAAACAAAATACTTAGCAGTGAATTTAGAGTTCGCCGTCAAAGCGTCCACTTTTATTGTCGACTTCGACACGTTGACAATACTGTAAAGTAAAGTAAATGTCGACAATGTCACAGACGCAGGTTTGATGTTACGTTTGTCATTAGAAGAAGAGTGATTAATGTTCATCTAACCACCGGTTTGATTAATGATTACTCATGTCTCCGGATATTTTTGGTTGCTTCCTTTTGTTCAATTAATTGGAGTATGAGTTATTCAAAATGTTGAAATGTATCTTAAATGAAAATTACTACTTAATAGATTGCATTCTTCATTCTTGTTAATTTTAATAATAATAGCTCCCGTACATAGCGTTTAACGCCTTGGGAGTAGCAAGGTACAGCTTGCCATACTAGAGCCGTTCGGTATACAAGGAAGGTAATGTGGCTAGCACTACGCTTCAACCGCCTATTATTACCTCGGGATTGTGAATCCCAAGTACTCATTTAAGGCTGAGTCGACCTAGGTACCCAAACTATTTTTATTTTAATAAAAATAGTCGGCTGATGAAATGCCGGGTGTGGGAATCGAACCCACTACCTTCAGATTGGTAGACGAGAGCCTGTACCTCTACGCCACCGAGCTCCTTCTTGTTAATTTTAATGTGCTTATTTAAGCACATAACAGTTTTCCAGGTATATTTGCAACAATTTTCAAAAAAGAGGTAAACAAGCCTATATTATTACTTGACTTAACTTGTTTTACTTTTATTACTTGACTTAACGATTATTCGCAAACTGCAGGCGTTGCTCAAACTTCTTCGATTATCATTTGAACATTCAAAAATGTTGGTCCGCTTATTTTCCATTCTTCAAAGTGAGGATACTTAAAGGAATCTTGATTCTCATATTTCCTATTCTGACTCCAGAGCATTCAAGTTAATCAGGCATTCAAGCAATCCTGAGCATTCAAGTTAATCAGCGAAGTAGAAAATCATTTTGTTATGTCTTATGCTTAAACCGGTCCCACACGATGTAGCAAACACCATCCAACGTTGGTAATAATGTGGTAAGTTAATATCAATTTTTTCAAAATTTTGACAGCTGTATCTAGCAACGGTGACCGCGAAGACTCGGCAGACGAGCGGTTTTATAATAGGAAATGGTAAGTACGCTATTGCAATTCCGGTAACCAAAGTAACAAAAAAATAAGATAAGGTACCGCAAAGGTTTGAATTATCAGGCAGTTCATTTTACTCCCAGCTCTAGGACTAATAGAATTTGAAATTATTATTTCCAAAAATGATTTAGGGTTATGATTAACCAAAAACTATGTACGTATCTACATATTTGATGACTATGTGATTAAATGTGATTTTCAGACATATGTCAGATATTCTAAAATCATCATGTCTCATAAATTGTATTTCGGAAAAAAAGTACAGAAATATATATTCTGTCAAGGTGTATGGCGACATCTGTCGGAAGAGCGAAAACACACTATCAAAGACTTAAAAATACAAGGACATATATAACGCCCATATTACGGCTGCAGCAGAATTTGTGATCTTAGACGCCATTTTTTTGGAAGTAACGAATGAGTCATCAGTTGGTCACCAGCGACCATTTTAGCGATTTTTAATAGTTTGTGTGTAGTGAACTTTGTATAAACTTTATTACAATGGTGATTAGTTGTTCAGCTTTCAAGGTCATCAACGACAATTTTAGTAA